CTCAATCTTACGGGCAGCCCAATATACAAGATTTTTCTCTTCCTTGGAAGTCAACCGGATTTACTGACGCTGTCCCAGCCTCCTGACTTTTCCCACTGATGTTACCACTTCTAACACAACACGTCTAGATTTTCTAACTATATCCTCCATCCAGGGTTTCTCTCCGGCTTTTTAGTTGCGAGCGAACACTACTTCTCCCTCCCGAAATTAGTGTTTTGTCGTTTTTTGGAACTCGAACCTCTGGTTGTAGGTACTGTAGTCATATATCCTGCTGTCGTCCTGAAAACCGCTCAACTGATGTCTATAGGCAAAAAGGGGTGTGCTGAGACACTTGAGTTTAACAAAAGTGTTCCACAGCATTTTCATTGCTCTCTTGAAGGTGCCAACGAAACGCTTTGCCTGACCATGCTATTGTGGATGGAATGGTGGTGACGTCACGTGTCGAGTCTCCGATTTCTGACGCAGTTGTTGGAAAGGTGATTACGTGGATTGAGTGCCGTTATCCGTCACAATATGCGTGGGGATGCCGTATCTCGCCATTAATTCTCCTGTCTTCCCTTCCGTAATATCAGCAGTAGCTGCCGCAACGTCGAGAATGTCTAGCCACTTAGACCATGCATCGACAACCATTAGTTGATTGAAAAACAGTCCCCTGTAGTCCATATGGACTCTACTCCAAGGTTCCGTCACCTCAGACCATGGCACGGGCGGCACTCTGGGCGGGTTCTTCGCCTTACGTCCACACGGGTAACAGCTTTAAACAAATGATTCGGCAACGGTATAGAGAAGGAGCACACTTAACTGTCAGTAGACTGTGGATCATACCATACGAGATTTATAGTTAAGGGATTTTTATGGGTGGGGCAGCAAGCTAGACAGTGACCTGACAAAGTGAAAGAGAACACAGAAATTGCCTGGATTTACGCCGAAAATCTTATCCTACGCTATTTTACGACAAGAGAAATTGGAGTAGTAATTAAACAATAAACAAAAAGTAAATTCCACAAAGTAACGGATCTTGAGTTAAGGTGTGAGGTCAGGGGAAGCAATCGTTGTCGGCAATGTAATTTCTGCAACGGCCTGCTAATGCATGCCAAGATAAAACCTCATATGGCAAGATTCGCAGTCTACTGACAGTTAAGTGGGGTCCTTCTCTATACCGTTGCCAATGATTCCATGTTGTTATCAATTCCCGCCCACTATACGTACTTTCGGGCCAGTTCTTTCATGTGGGTCATGCCCGGATATCCGGCATGGAGTTCCTGTAAATCTAGTTGCTGATGTCGGTCTGGGATCACCACCTTACCATCACACAGTATGCATTCATCCGTGATATCCAATTGTTCCTTTCTGTTCCTTTAGTGCTTTATCGATGGGTGAACTTGGTCGTCATGGAGCCAACCGTTCAGAATAAATCCTTTCACGTGGCGCGAGAGGGGTCTGCCGCAGTGGTGGCCCCGGTGTGGTCGGCTGCGAGTAGCAACTGCCGGATGACACCTATAAACCCGCTGGTGTATTTAAACCGACTTAGTGCTAATCGCATCTCACCCTGCAGGCAGGTCGTGGAAACAGCCTTATCTTTCTTGGGAAAAAGTCAGCCGTCCATACCTCGTCTATGTCATATCCTGATCGACAGACTGATACTTGAATCTCTTTGGCGATTATTCTCTGTGGCACCTTGTTCGGGGTTGGAAGTGTAGTTCCTTGTTTGAGCTAAGTAGTTACCGTTTATTCTACGAGTTGGCAGTGCGCATCACAGCTCTTCGGCGGTTACTCGGTGATCTCCCGTCTAGGCTGGAAGTGCTGAATTCTACACCGCCTTCTTGCAATAGTGGGGGCAAAAGACCTATTCGGTCACATGCATATTTACGGGAGCGGAACTCACTCGTTCCCTTGTGCCTTAAGGGCTCTCTCTCAAGCCCAACCAGCGGCCGCACAGCGGCGCATGAGATATAGGCAGAATGGTATTACCGACAAAGACAAGGGAGACTGGAATGGCCATTTCTGGCTTATTAGCCGTCGTCAGCCAGCCATACCCAAGCCCGAAGTGTGGAACACCCGAGCCTCGAAATCGTGCCCTGTTGGTTTTAGAAGTCCACGCCTCTACCCACCGGGCCACGAACCCATTGCCCGTTTATCATAAGTGTGGCTGTTAAAAGTGGGATACGGGCATAAGCAGCAGTCCAGTAACTCAATCGCGTGCTTCGTTTTAAAAGGTTTTTCCTTATCGTCGCACTTTCGTTCCAGTAGGTCACTGATGACTCTCATGGTCAATTTCTTAGGGATGGCGGTAAACAAAGAGACGACGTCAAAGGATACCATGATCTCATCGGGGGCTATTGTCAAACCTCGGACGTTTTCCAGGAAATGCGTTAAGAAGGCCGCTGTGTCTTCGGAGCCTTCCATCGGCGTCTTTGAATGCTAGGTAAGCCGTTTAGCCAGTTCATAGGTAGGTGTGCCTTTCAGCCCATCCAAAATACGCTCTTGTTGAATTTGCTCACCTGTGTTTTCATGGTGTCAGAGTCGATGACTCCGTATAACTGGTTGTCGTTTAGTAGTTCTTGGGATTTGTAACGTACTCTGATATGCCCAAGATCACGGTTGCTCGTCATTTGTTCGCTGCAACAATGGCAATTTCTTCTTCCATCTTTACTTCCCCAATGTACTTTAATTCGGCTGAGATAGTTCGGCGTTGCTTGTGTGCTATGATGAGGGATGAGACTCGCTGGCGAACGGAGTCCTTGGAGTCTTCTGTGGTATCAGTCATTCCTATCTACGATGATGGCTCGAGTGTGAGTATGAAACGTCAAATGCATAACGCATGAAGGAACTTGCTGGAGAACTATCCAAACCGCTGTCCATGCTCTTCCAAGCTTCGTTCGAAGCAGGCTATTTGCCCTCCGATTGGAAATCAGCGCGGATCACGCCAATTTATAAAGGCGACAGCAAGGTCTTAGCAAACAACTACAGACCGAAGAGCCTTACTTCAATTTGCTGCAAACTTATGGAGAAAATAATAAAGCGAGAAATAATGCACTTCCTAGAAGAGCATAATCTGCTATGCGATGCCCAGCACGGTTTTCGTAGAGGCAGATCATGCGTGACGAATCTACTATATTGTTTAGGTCGCTGGACCCGGGCAGTCGATGGCAGCAATGCAGTGCACGCAGTCTACGTCGACTTTAAGAAAGCATTCGACAGTGTACCCCATCAGCGTCTCCTGTACAAATTAAACCGAACAGGCCTGAGGGGTAATCTCCTGAGGTGGATACAAAGTTTCTTGATCGGTCGCTCTCAAATCGTCCACGTCGGTGACAGGCAGTCGGCGGAGGTAGCGGTTGAAAGCGGTGTTCCACAAGGCTCCGTTCTTGGCCCTACCCTATTCATTATATACGTCAACGACTGCGTCAGTGAACTGAATTGTGATGTCGCCATGTTCGCTGATGATGTTAAACTTTGGAGCGTCATCCGAACTGAATTTGACGAAGAGCGCTTGCAGGCAGACCTAACCCGACTCCAGAAATGGTCACAGGACTGGCTGTTGCCGTTTAATGTGACTAAGTGTAATGTCCTGCGAGTCGGCAGGACCCGATCTCTGAACCGGAGGGTTTACCACCTAAACGGCGTAACATTGCAGGAGGTAGACGCCCAGAAAGACTTGGGGGTGTGGGTAACGGCTTCTCTAAAACCGTCGCTTCACTTCTCCAAGGTAGCCAAGTCTGCGATGTCAGTCCTTTATCTTGTCAAGAGAGCTTTCTCTACCTTCGATGAGGACTGCTTCGTTAAAGTCTTTCGGACTTTCGTACGGCCACAGCTAGAGTTCGCTATTCAGGCGTGGAAACCGTGGACCTCTAAAGATCTCAGCATCCTCGAGAAAGTTCAGAGGCGGGCAACAAAACTCGTAAGTGGACAGGGTCCACTACCCTATGAAACCCGATCGTCCAATCTCGGTCTCTTTCCACTGAGTTACAGACAGCTAAGAGGCGACCTTATACAAACATTCCGTATACTGCGCGGCCAGGACTGCTGTCTCGTACCTACTGATTTCTTTGAGTTAGCGACCACAACGAACCTCCGAGGTCATCCACTTAAACTACGCGTAACTGGCGCCAAGCTGGACACTCGGAAGTTCTTCTTTTCAAACAGAGTGATCGAGGCCTGGAATGCTCTGCCTGCAGGTGTCGTCATGTCCACCTCCGTCGAGGCTTTTAAGCGCAACTTGGACCAGATTGCCACCAATCGTCACAATGCCACCTGACAGATTGTCCAGCATTTCGTTCGAACAGTTTATTAATGTTGTTATATTACTTCCTATATGTCAGTAACGTTTGTTTTTTTAATATTGTCCCATGTCTGTTAAATGTGTGTTGGCATTCAATTCGTCTCCCTTCGCAACTGAGATAGCACCAACTATCACTAGACAGACTACTGTACAGCACATTTAGTAACGTTAATTTTTTTTAACTCTTGGAACAATTCGTTTATCTGTCTGGCTTACAAAACGTTGCCAATCTGAAGAAACTCTGTAGCCGTTTGATGTTTCAATTTTCAAATTTATTTATCGTTCGCCTCCTTGTAACAAATAGGGAGTTCAAAGGTTTAACACCTATATTTCCCTCAAATAAACTGAACTGAACATATCTCTAAACAACCTTGAAAACAGGCATCCTAAGAATTACAATTCGGAAGAAATAAGGGCTAGATCGCAGTTGGTAGCCATGAACGGGAAGTGGACGGCGAACGTAACCCTATTCCTGACCTCAACCCCAACCCTAACCTCAAACTTAAACGTTAACCGTTAATCCTATCGGCATTACTAATCTTAACCCAAACCGAAATCGTAAACGTAACCGTAGCACTTAGACAGAGCCGTAACCGAGATGCCTAACTGTAATACTGAAACCCTTTCGTACGCTCAAATCCTAACCGTAACTCAAAAACCTAAGCTTAAAGGCATAACCGTAAACCGAAAGTCGGAAACCATTAACCGGTATCCTAATCCTAACCTCAACCGTAAAACGGAAGCCAAATACGACAGATGTGGTTATGGAGCCCCCCAAAATATAGCCCCAGTAAACGAACCCCCCAGTCACCTGTAATACGGGTCCTGGCTACCAACTGCAATCTGGCCGAAATAAGTTCTTTGAAAAAAATAAACAAGTCCCGGATATGCGATCAACATCTCTGGTTTTTTCGCAGAAGTCACAATGCCGAAATAAGAGGCTATCAACTTACCACTAGTTAACCCCAAATTATGGGTGCGACATGTTTATGACACGTTTCTCATTGTTTAAATTGATCAACTGAAAATAATCCACAATATTATTAACTCGACACTTCCAGGAATCTGTTTTGCCCCCGAGAAAGAGGCTGACAACAAACTCCCATTTCTTGATGTCCTCGTACCGAGAAAGGCCGACGGGACATTCCACACTTCGGTTTGCCGCAAGTTAACCTAGGCGGAAATCCTTTTACATTACGATAGCAATAACCCGATCCCTCACAAACGGAGCGCCGGGAACAGAATCCTTAACCGAACAAGAACTTACTGCTCTGACAACGAAACCTATCAAACAGAACTAAATTATTTTTTCAATCTGTTTTTCCGGAATGGACATCCTAGATATTTTTTGCACCGATGCATGAAACGACAGGAGTTAAAAGAAAAGGACAAGGAAGTAGATTGTTCCGATCAGGCGCCCAAACTGAAAAAACTGGCGAACACTTCCGCACATTAAGAATATATCCGAACTAGTTGAAAGACATCTGAAGGAGCACCAACTACGTGAGGCGCATAAGCCGACAACTACAATTCGAAACCAGCTTGTGCACCCTAAGGATAGGGGTGGCTATTTATATAAGAAGGAAGTAGTCTTTATGATACCATACAACACCTGTAATGCGGTTTACTGCGATCAACCTAGGAAATCGGCCTCTGCACGAATACATGAAAATCAGATGGTCGTAAATAGGCCAGACCGCTTGTCCCAAGCTGCCATGCATACGCTGGAAACTGGACATAAATGCGCTTGGGACAGCACTAGCATCGTAGGTGACTATTCCTCTAGGAAGGGCCGTGAACGTTTAGAGGCCATCCATTCTGATAACTCATGCATCAACCGACACGTAGAATTGGATGCGGTGTACATCAGCCTCAAAAAGAAGTGGAAAAGGCATTGACCAATCAGGACATTATGCCAGCAGAAGTGACAGGGCAAAATCGATTTTAGGCACGTTCAAATGTTAACTATTTTGCACACCTACTTCACGGTTGAAGGTGACTTGGGGAAGCAAGGTCAAAAATTTGCAATTAGACTTGTTTGTCTTTCCCAAAGAACTTATTTCTTTCGAAATATGCATATATATTCAGATATATAACTTGTGCTTGTCGTTATCTGGACCACCTAATTGGACTTAGCTCGAAAATATGTATTGTCATTCTTATTTTAAATGCCCATATATGAATGAACCCGACACGTATGACTGCGAGATCGCGGAAATGTCGTTGCAGAGGAGGTGCAGTTGTGGGCTGTAGAATGCCGGAATTTTAGTTGACAAGAATGTCTCTGTCGTCGCAATTCAGGGATATTGTGGAGGATGCGGCACTGGAACCTAGGACAGTGTTGAGGACGCGAACACAAATTGTTAGGTTACGAAGTCGCTGGGTAACCAGGGCTTCGTGGTAGTTCATGCAAGCAGAGACGACTTGTTAATAGTGCGAAATACTGAAGCATTCACTAGACAGAACGACGCATTCCCTTAAATGCGACATGTTATGCAGGACCGAGGACCACTGATATGCAGTCTTTCCGTTGGGATTACAGAGAGAGCTGAACCAGCATAATGAGAACTAATCATAAAGACGGAAGTCCAGGACGCTATCGTCCGGCCATCTTTCAGGTTAAACCCGACTTTCTCCTGATTGCAATGTCGCAACAGTTATTTTCCCTGTTGATCGACGGGAAGTGTAGGTACACCGTCAATTCGGAGGGACAAAAGTCTCAGACAGTCACGAAAGAAAAAAATTGCAAAAGTAATGTGGAAATCAGGAATTTATTTGAACTAGCTTAATGGTGGATTTTTATATAAGAAATCAAACTACGAGGAAATTTCACGCAAATAGATTCGAGAAGCAGACGAATGAGGTTGCGTGCGCGCCAGAATTCCAAGTCACTGAAATGAGAAGAATTCGGATGCGTACCATAAGGAATGATGTAGAAGACGAAGTAGCAAAAACGCAAATTAAAGGAAAAATATGAAACGATGTAGATTACCACTCTTTTAAGGAGAAAATCCTTGCTCCTCCAAGCGTTCAATTATCTAAAAGTTGACAGGAAGAAAATCAGGATATTTGACTCTGCGTGTAAATAGCCCTTTCAGAAAAGTTTCAAAGGTCTGCGTGTGATTTACTGGGCAGTCCAATTGCATCTGACTGTGGACTTTGCGAAGTGGGAAAATGAAATCTATGGCAATACATCATAAGAAGAAGAATAAGTGCTACGAATCAAACTTCCCCCCCCCCTATATACTTTCGTCCTAGGTTACGCAGAATGCCCCGTCGGTTTCATTTGACACACGAAGTTTCAGTTCTGCCTTTGATACGTTGCATTTACGAGCGGGTTAAGGGGCTATCAGAAGCAAATAACTAGCCGGAATGATAACCTTCGCCGAAAAATGCTCGTCAAACGTCGTAAATTTTTTTCTCACAAATGAGTAGTTGTATGGAACCACAACATCCCATTCTTTGAGAAGCACTGTAAAAGCCTATCGCATACGCCAAACTGATCGCTGGCAGTTCCAATGCCTTCTTGTCCAAAACGTTTAATGACTGATCGACCGCTTCAATTCCTAACCTACAGATATAGACCGGTGCCGGTCTGAGACGCCGCCTCGGTCACCGGATGATTTCTTGAAGCTCATAGTACTGGACCAAATAGTGTTGCAAACAGTAATTTAAATGCGGACGCAGGTGAGGTGTTTTCGTCCCACATGTGCGAGATATCTAATCTCGCTCTCGAAAGTGGGACCTATTGCAGTTTGTACAAGGACTCATGCCTTGTACATATTCCCAAGCACGACCAGTCTACGTCAGCTGACGACTTTCGGCCAGTAAACATCCCCCCCCCCCCCCCCCCCAGCAATTTCGAAAATCTTTGAGGCCTTAATCTAAGATGAGGTAACGTCTCACTCAACATGAGATCCGCAAAGCTCGGTCTTGTGACGCCTGCCAGCCTCACTTTTAGTAGTCATGTTGCACAATCTGAAAACAATGCTTTCGCCGCCTGAACAGTCATCATCAGCCCCAAGTATGCATTGATGGAGACGACATTAATGTGAACGGAACTGTTGAGGATCTACGTATGCAAAACTCCAGGAGCCCCAGTCTTTCAGTTTTCCTGCCTGACTGGCCTCAAGGCGGACAACAAGACTGGTTGTCCCCCATGGAAATTTGAAACTAACTATCTTGGCACCCGCCTGGTCTAGAATGCTATACGTTTTTATTTAGCCTTCTGCGCACTGTTGAGCGAAAGAAAGTGGAACTTGTCCAGCCTTTTGTTACCAGAAGTACTTTGATCGCGGAACGCTCAATTTCGACACATCGAGAACGTTGTGGACTCCCAGATCTAGGTGCTTTGTGGCTTCGCCGATTATAAAAGGAACTCCAGGTTGTCATTCAAGTTTCTAAACTGTCACACGTTCAATGTCCCCACTGCTTTGCGACATTTTGACCGCTGTGGGCACAACAGTTCACATGGGGTCATTTTATCTCTTCCTGAAGTAGTTACAGTTAAATATAGTAATTTCATTTCTGTCAACCGAAATGCAATCTAGAGTAATTTCCGCAGGCCCATGGCCATTTCGCAAAACAGCCCTTAGTAACATGAACTTTTACTCGCTTTTATCGGTCAGAACAACCTCCACAAGTTCTGCGTACAGTATTCACCGAAATCATTTCCCGTAGTGATGGCATTCCCTGTCTGGTGTCATTTCGAGGTGCTGATTCTGCAATCCGCCGTGTAGCGAGTAAATTCTTCATCTGGCGGTGAGCATCTGTTTATCTATGCGGCCTTGTCTGATGCTGTGTCCAGATTCCAAGAAACGAAGTCAAGACTAGAAACACCCGTCGCACAAATGCCTTCAAGCCAAAAACGTTTTTGATCTGGACCGCCGTAATTTCGGGGACCGCAGATTGTTCTCCCAGTAGACAATAATCCTTTTAGCAATACAGTAGATGGACTTAATGATGAAATATTAACCAAAATTCCTAAATGCGTTTTCGTTGTTAAACCGATCATTGTGCAGCATAATTCTATAGTACTTTAGTTAACTCAGGACGTTGGCTTTCGAAGTCGGCCACCAGGATGGTCGCTTAAGTAAGCGCTGATGTGGAAAAGAATATCGTTAAGGAAGCGCAGTAACATACCGAGGAGATCCTCTTGAGATCATACCACACTTCCTCCAACTAAAACATGATAGTCAGAATAAAATTCGGGGAAAAACAACAAAAGGCAAGAATTAAGTAACGTCAACAAGGATACGTACCCAATAAGCACGCTCGTCTGAAAAATAGGAAAGGAGGAGAAAAGGCATGAAAAACACGACAAAAAAGCCGAAAAATTTACAAAGGAAAAAGCTAACGCGGGGATCGCAAAAAGCAACAGGGCCACAAAGAACCGCAAAAGAAGGCGGGCTGACAGGGCAAATGCTGTCCTCTTCGCTATTAAAATGACTTTAATGCTCAAAGAGCTATTTGGAAAAGTGTATGGAGCATTTGTTCATTCAAAAATTGGAATATGGAATCAAAGCATGGCGACTCTGACTGAAAAAGACTATTAGTTGCTGGAACGAGTTCATAGGAGGGCGACCAAAATTGTGATAGGCCTCAGGACTTTATCTTCCCGCTGTAGACTTGATGAGCATAAGCTATTTCCTCTTGAGTACAGGCAGATCCAAAGAGATCTCAAGCAGACCTAACGGATCGTAAGGAATCGAGAATGTGCCATTCGCTACATTGATTTCTCCACCTTGACTACAAAAGCAAACCTGAGCTGAACTTTCTAAAACATCAGGAAACCAGATCCCACACGGATGTTCGCGTTTTCACAGCGTGTCGCCAGTGCCCGAAACGAGTTTCCAGAGGAAGTGATAATGGCGGACGTCGCAGGGATATTAAGACAAAGACTTCGTGTATATTTGCTTGAAGAATACCGCTTAAATCGACAGAATAGTACTGTTATGCCAAACCAAATATTTGCACATATCACCCGCTAATGAGATGATTGATGATTCGCTGTATCGTTGTCCTCTAGAACTGGGCGTTATCAGGCTACAGTAACAAAATTCCAAGAAAAATATTCGCCGTATTCAGCAACAGGTTTAAATGACGGGTAAATGTGAATGTAGAGGGTTAAAGAGGATAATTAAAGTACTGGAATAGCGAGAATATAGAATCAAATACATAGCGAAATACACCAAAAAGTAGTAAAAATAAAGAAAAAAGGAAAGGGTAATGCTAAAAGAAGTAACTGAAAAAATAGACTGAAGGAAATAATGAATTGTACACGAAAAATGCAATCACAGAAAACAAACTCATTGACAGAAAAGTTCACATATTGAGCAAAAAATAAATATATCACACGCGTGCGTGTCACTCTGTAGAAAAACGACGCCTAAGGAAAGGCAAAATACCCGGGGCATTTTTCCAGCTGAAAAAGTAGAAAGCTAACATTGCGTACTCCGGCAAGTATATTAACTGTCTGCGTCATGTTCTCTGCGCTACGTTTGGCGCATCTGCATACTTAGCGATGCCGCCGTAATGACAGGGCCAGTGCTTACATGATTCAAGTGTTTCCGGCATCTCGGAGAACTGGCCTTGAAATAATCATTATGCAGCATGATTCAATAATTGTCCAAGTACCTCAGGATGCCGGCTTTCGAAAATGACTTCTTGTTTAGCATGCATTTTCTTATCGATTTTCGATGCCCTTAAAAATTCAATTGTAAGTCTTGGAAGACATACATAAAAAGTATTCATTATTTTGTTCACTCGGTAGAAATCACGTCTTCTTCCAATTGTATACTAGAAGGGAGGGCCCAATTCGGCCGTGATATGCCTGTTCATAAAACTTCATGCCTTTGCATTTACCAGTGTGGCTTGTACAGTTAACAATTTGGCTCAAATCTACTGCTAAATTATATGAACTCCATATAGTCTCCTCTTAATATCGTAGAGAAAGGCATGGTTTTCCGCACACGGAAGATATACGGCTTGTAGTTAGGAAACCCTGGAAGCAAATATAACTGCAGATCGGGTTCAAAATAATCCGCGAATTGGAAACGTTTTGAAAACCGAATTATAGCTATTCTCCAAAAATGAGTTTGGAAGAAGACGTAATATTTAACCGAATGAGCAAAAGTATGAATATTTTTATGCATGTGTTCTATGAAATATGATAGAATGTCTAAGGGCTTATAAAATCGATGAGAAAATGCATGCTACTCAAGCCGTCCTTTCTTACACAGTATAGACTTTTCATGCAACAGAAAAGGAGTTCTTTCGAAAGCAGGCAACCTGAGGTAATTTAATTATCATGGAATTATGTTGCATATTGATTGGTTTTACAACCCTACTTAATTAAAACGCATTCCTGAATTTCAGTTGATATTTCATGAGTTAGCACATCTACTGTAATTTTGCGTGGTCAGATGTTGGTTAACGGTTGTTAGGGTGTGGGAACAAGTCAATGATCGTATACGTAGTCCCTCGTATTGAGAGTCTAGAAGGACGTGCCGGTTGCTGCTGGTTGTGTCAGAATGTCATGCTTCGAGGAATTCCTGAGCCTAACTGGTGTTACCCATTGCCATCACTTCAGCACCGCTGCAATTGAAACGTTGGTCATACTAAAGGGCGTGAGCAAACACGAGAGACAAGGGGGGGGGTCGCGACTGAGGAGGGATAACTTCTGCTGGCTAATGCGAGTCGGCCTGTATGACCAATATAAACACAGGGGTACTTGGCGCACGGTATACAGTAGATGGGCTCAGTTATTTCTGATTGGTGGAGTGGATTGAGTATAGTTAGACATGATGCAATGACGAGAATGTGTTTACCAGGAAATTTTCCTGGAGGTGGAGTTGTCGTGATGGTCGAAAGGATTTCGCCAGAATGGTCTACGGAGAATGCAAAAGACGAGGAGAGGAAGTAAGACAAGTAGTGCAGCAAGTGTGTCAAATGGTGAGGACGCCATCGTAGAGGTCAGCATGAGATAACACAGGAAATAAAATTGCGGAAATCGAATGAATTGGTGTAGCGCAATAAATTGCAAAGGCCTAGGGTAATAAGAGGCATAAAAAGAGTGCGTAAAAGCAAATCCAAAAGGGGGATTTGAAAACCACTATGAAGTCCTGCCTGTTTGCAGATCATAGCGAATAGCGAGAGAGGAATGGCGTAGGAAAATACGCTTACTAGGCGAAGATGGCTTTGGGGTCCACGAAGATTCGCCTTTAACCTCGGTTACGGCTTCTGCAAACAGAATGCAGGGAGACGATCATGGGGATTGCTGTCTGCCTCCCAACGTCCTGTGCTACACACAAATCTCACAGACCCTAATGTCATTTCCGTCCACACCTCCATTCTCATAATAATAATAATACAATTGATATATTAATATCATATATATATATATTATATTGGATGTGACTTATATCGCCAGATCGCTAAGCCCATATGGATGTGTTCTCTTGAATATTCTTAAATGTTCTGCAATTTGCATTGCCTCTGCTTTTTGCCCTTTCCTCGGTCTACAGTCTTTAATACTTTTATGTATTTTATCTTATTTTCTCACAGAGATTCAGCAATTTGCATCGTTTCTTCTTCTTGCTCATTTGTCCTCCGTCTACTTTCTTCCTTCAGTTTTTCCCTAGCCTATGCCATTTTTTCCATTCCTTGTTATGTCATGTTTTTGCCGTTGTTTCCTTTTACCTCCTATTTTTAATAATTATCTTCGTTGTCTTTGCTTACTTTTCATTGGTTCTGTTCCTGCTGGAGGTGTTTCGGTATGCGGCGGCAAGGTAGCTGTAACATAGAAATGGAAATATTTGTTATATTTCTCTGCTTCCCGGTTTTAATATGCTAACTGCTCGTTAGCTTTGCACTTTTTTTCATATTTTACTGCTTCACATATTGTATTTGTTTTTTATTGCAATGTGTGCATCCATGCGCATTAATCCCTGCAAAATTTTATGCTCATTTACTTTTATTTTTTCTCTTTTCATTCTGTTTGACTCATTCTTCCCCTTTTCTGTTATGCGTTTTTCCGTCTTTGTGGTCTTTAAAAAGTTCATTTCGTAATATTCTGAAGTAAATAGATTTACTGAAGTCGTTTGTGTCAATCCTGGCATTAACTAAAAATATCCGCATGGAACCCATCTTTTCGGCCTGCCTAACTTATTTTTGTACTTAATTGACATTTTTTCCATGTGTCCCAGTATGCTCCGATTGGTACTTTTCATTTGCCGTTTGTTCTGCTATTGCAAACCACTTTACTCTATTTTTACGTTCTTCTTTCTGAACTTTTACGATTTTAATCACCAATTGGACCACTATATTTTTCTGCTAAATTCGCTATTGCGTGTCGATTTTCATGCCCACACAATTTGGTTGCGCCATCATTGCTTTGAGGTTTGGAGTTTGCAGGTTGCACAGATGTGCCTTGCTTACTTTGAGCTGTATTTCTCAGTCATCTGTTTATTCAACCATTTTCTACGGCTCCTGATTTTAACATTTGCAATTACAGTGGAGCGATAATATCATCGTCTGTGCGTGATAAGATAAACCATTCTGCTTTTATGCAACCAGTTGCTGTGAGCGAACACTGCATTTTGAAGGCATCAGATTACTTTACATACCGGTTAGTGTAGTATCCAGCGTGGAACATTAAAAATGTGCAGGCATGTTTTTTTATCGGGACACTTACTTCTGTGTTCTTAATTTAATGACGGGTCTTAATCTTATGACCTCCAGTGAGGTGAGGTTTAATAGAGCACCTACATGTGTGAATTAGTCTTACTCAAGCGAGAGGACTGACGAAAGGCAGTGTGTTCAGGTCAATGGTCAATTGTTCATACGACAAGCACACTCTGACTGACAATGCATTTCGACTTTTCGTACGAAAATATGTCAAACATATGTTCAGGTTTGTTCATGAAAAACCAGCGGTAGATGGTGAGCAGGTACTTACCGTGGGTGATTGTTCGCAACCGGCAGTCAATAGAGCATAATTTAATACTATGAGCCTTAATATTTAAACCTACGCACAATAGATGACTTTCCTTGTGTGCACACTAATCATTCCATGAAGAACCACTTATTTTAACCGGGAGGTTTGACTTCATTTGACAGTATTACTCATTTACCATAAGACCCGCACTTAGTGAATGTAAGCAGAAACCAACTTGTATCAGCAGTGAGGCATTAAATATTATAGTCACAAACTGGCTGTGATGGAAACAATATTGACGGACTTAAATACGTGCTAGGGGTAAATGTGCTAAAACTTCAAACATGCTTTCTGCACTTGCACTACTTGCTTCGTCAAGAGCCAATGTTATGTCTCAAAAATTAAGGCAAATTCGTCTGAGACTCGCTGGCGACCTTCTAGATAAAAGTAAATTAAATAAGCACAATAGGTTAAATAAAACCTCTTTACTCATCTCAATTAGGTGTCAACGTAAACCTGTTGTTTGTCTAAATATGTAGTCTTCAGTCTGTCGCGGACATAAATACAGGTCAAGATATTGTCTTATTTGTCCCGTTTAAAATAACACGGATAAACTTACACCAATGGTGAGTTGATCGCGCTTCAATGAGGTCTAAAAGGAGGAGGAAAAAAAGCGAGTTGTCATTCCTTCAATTTAAACCCAGTTGCGTCCATTTTAAATTTGTCTCTCTGGAAGTTTCATCGACGACAGAATCTGTCTTTACGGATGGTCGATTAAAAACACTGTAAAGCATGAAGTATTTAACGATGTACCAAGGCAAAATTGAAATTCGACGTAATCCAGAAAAACGAAAATAGGAAGCTAGTTTTACAGAACTGATTGTCTCTTTATATACACCTAAAGATTTGTTTACTATTAAATCTGTCAAACCTACTTTAATCTATTAGTCAGCGACCGACCTGGCAATATGTGACCTTATAAAACTCTTATTCCTATGGCGTCCTTGTCGGCGAAATCAAGCAGAGTCCTGTCCGCCTTATTGAGCTGTACCTTAATCAATTCAAAAGCGTGGAAAATACAGCGAATTCGCAGGAGATCAATTTGGAATATATACTCCGAATGGAGGCCGTTGGGAAACTGTCGTACCTGATAATACACTAATTCGTAAAGGATATTTTAATGTGAAGTGCACTGAAAGACCATATTCAAACATTATTCTTTTTGTGCTGCCCGTCTTTTAACAGTTCCTTTCAAAATTAAATTTACTAAACTACAACCATTTATGACGTTCTCGGAAGTTTCCGCTTTGCGAAGAAAATTCGTATTACTACACATTGCAGTATTGCCTAGAATAGTTCAATTGTATTTTCGGTTCTATTAAAAATGCCCTTTATTACTGTCGATATTAAATCCATGCATTGGTGCTGGCTGCAACTAATTAGCAATCACTCGTAAATTTCGACACCTTTCATCCCTTAGGTGGCATACCGTACCATCTTGGCTTCAAGCAGCTCCTTATTATCAGGACTGCAGTATAGGCCTTAGGATCACTTGTGAGCTTAAAAAATCGTAGAGCTCAATGTCATCAAGCATGTAAGCGGATTTTAGAGATACTTTCTTGATACTGGACTATGTCTGATCTACAAAACGGCACAGACATATGCCAGCATCTGCAATTCCTACAGGTTTTTGAAGACGCTTTAAATCACTGAAAGCCATCTGTGTCGCTCAAGTGTCTTGCCCGTATCATAAGTACCCACCCTGTTGTCGCTGTTTCCGGAGGTATGTCTATTTTACAGTAGATGTTCTAACTCATGAAATGTCAACCAACATTTGGAAATGCGTTCTCATTTCGAAAAGATAAATTAAGTAGTGTTGTAAAACTAATCCTGATGCAGCATAAATCTATAATGACACAGTTACCGAGAGGGTGTCGCCTTTCGAAAGAACTTATTTTCGGCTGCGTTTGAGGTCTATACTTTGCAAAAAATGACTGCTTAAATAGCATGCAATTTTCTCATTGATTTTCGATGCCCCTAAAAATTCAATTATGTTTCATGAAAAACATACATAAAAGTGTTCATTCTTTAATTATTCGGTAGAAAATCACGTCTTCTTCTAAATCCATACTCAAAAAAGAGTATAATTTGGTTTCAAAAAAGTTTCTAATTGTGAGATTTTTTAATACCGTTAAATGGCCGTTTATGAAACGTCATGCACCTGCATTTGCGAATGTGGCTTGTAAAGTTAACAATATTGCTCAAATCTACTGCTTAATTTTATGAACCTCATATGACCTCCTCTTAACACCATAGAGCAAGGCATGGTTTTCCGTGCACGGAAAATAAACAGCTTGTAGTTTTGAAACCCTGAATGCAATGGAAGAAGACGTGATTTTCTACCGAATAAGTAAAACAATGAGTATTTTTATGCATGTTTTCCATGAAATATAATTGTATTTTCAGGGCCATCGAAAATCAATGAGAAAATTGCACACTACTTGAGTAGTCATTTTTGGCAGAGTATAGATCTAGCATACAGCCGAAACTAAGTTCTTTCAAAAGCCGATACCCTGCGGTAACTGGATCATTATAGGCTTAAGCTGCATTATGATTAGTTTTACAACACTACTTTATTTATCTCTTCGAAACGAGAACGCATTTCGAAATGTTGGTTGACCTTTCATGAGTTAGCACACCTACTGTAGAGACTGTAATGTGCTAAATATTGTGTCGCAGTGTTCTGATGCTGCTGTTTTGCCGCCAAGCACATACAATGGCGAAAACTGAGTAAATAATACTGCGTTCAAATTTCGTACGATAAACATACTGCCACGAGACATACGCTAAAATTATGAGAAAAAACGGTTTCCCATAACCTGATTTTAGCTGCACTTTTTCAAGTCACGGATGCTACACAAGGATGGGTAAATATCAGCCTCCGAGTCAGCTAAAGCTAAAAACCTTTAATAGTATTAAAATTTGTGAGTCTGTAAAGTTAGAAAGGAATCGTTGATCCGGGTGTGGTACAATCGCTCGCCAGCAAGTGCAACCAGATAAATTATGCATATCTTTCTAAAAACCTATTAATTACCCCTTGTGTTCTGCGTGAGTATTCTCTTTGGTACAAGCATGGAGCATCGAGCAATTTTGATCAATTCAAAGGACTGACCTACCATCCATTTGTGATCTCACATAAACAAATATAAGTATGTTAAGTTAGTTGCCCTTAATCAGAATCTGATTCCCATCCATTAATGACTCTTTTCATTGAGGATATTTATAATCCCTCGCCACCCAAGAGATGTAAAAATACTAGCACGAAGAGAGTCTAACAAACTATACAGAATACTTACTGGCTATTTCCGAACATAAGATAATTCAGCATCATAATTTTAAGGCAGATAGTAAATAAGTAAAATTTGTTTAGAACAGTGTGAAAAGCCGGTTGCAGTCATACGTAGGCGCTTACTATTTAAACCTAAAAAAGGCCAACTTATACCGGCGCATATGAGCAAATAATCACCAACTTACAGAAAAGCAGAAGAACCAAAATCGCGTGTTTCATTCTGTTGGCTTCGTGAGATCTGAGAGCTAGAATGCTGCTCAGCGATTTATAGATGTAAGTCTTTCAGATTTGAAGGTCATTGCTGTCAGTGGAAATCCATTAAATTAAATTTGATTAATCAGGCGCAGACAGGCACCTGTCTGCAAAGCAACAGCTATTGGGTCCATCCAGAAAGAATACGTTACTTGAGAATGCAGCGTATTCTTGTTGGAATTTGCCGGACCATTCTTTGAAGTTTTACACCAGAAGCCGCATAGAGGAGGCCCGAGGGCCCTCTAAGGAGGGGGGGGGGAAGACCGTCAAACTCGTGGCGTGCGTGTGATTCATCCACTGACGTACAAAGTGTGGAAGGTAGGGGGGTTCTTCATGTGAATTCCTTTCAACCACACCCAATCTAACCGCATGTGCTGCAGTTAATTGCATAATCACCATATTGCAGTTTTTCTATGGAGCTGTCACGTTGAGTTCAGTGGTCGGAAGTGACATTTACTGTCGAACAGGCAAGAAATTCTTAAAGCCTAACTGATGCCTGTGATCTCCTCCAGAATTGTGCCTGAGTACTAGCACAAGTCTGCCCGCGGGAACTATGCGCAACATCCCAGAAGGTCACTTGAAGACCATTTGCCCAGGAATTCAGACCATGTTGTTCAGGAGAGTGATCTAGGCTGAACTGGTCGCGGTCTGGATACGTTAGCGCACTTCCAAGTCTTCAAACACTGGTGTTTCTCTTTCAGACTGAAGAGTACAATGCCCCTCATTACTTGGCAAAAAACGTTTTGAAAAAGCACGATAGCAGACGCAGGTTTCCAGCAATTCATCATCATGCCCATACAGTTAAATATAACTTAAAAGTATGAGAAGTTTACGGGGTTTATATATACAGTAGGTGGGATAACTCACGAAATTTCAACCGAAATTCCGAAATGCGTTTTCGTCTTGAAAAGATTAACTAGGTAGGCTTGTAAGACCAATCATCATGCAGCGTGATTCTACAACAATTCAGATACCTCAGGATTCTGGCTTTCAAAAGAACTCCTTTTCAGTTCCATGCAAACCCATACTACGTAAGAAATGACTACTTGCGTAGCACGCATCATTCTCCTTGACTTACGATGTCCTTAGATATTCATTTATATTTCATAGATAACATGTATAAAATATTTATTCTTTTGCCCATTTAGTAGACAATGACGACTTCTTCCGATTTTATATTCGAAGGAAGGGTATAATTTGGCTTGTAAGATTTTTTAATACAATTAAGTACCGTCTATAAAACTTCGTGTTTCTGCATCTACCAATGTGATTTGTAAAGTTAGCAATATGGCTTACATTCACTGCTAACGTTAGTGCTCTCCGTATGGCCTCCTGTTAATACCGTAGAATAATGTATGGATTCCCGTAAGCGAAAATTGTTCGGCTAGTAGATTGGGAATCCTGGATGCAAGCATAACGGCAGTTGGGGGTCAAAAGCATTCGGGAAATGGAACAGTTTTTAAAAACCGAATTACACCCTTAATTCGAGTACTAACTTGAAAGAAGACGTTATTTTCCACTCAATAAACAAGAGGGGGGAGGGTTATGCATGTTTTCCATGAAATACAATTGAATGTTTAGATGGTAGTTGGTAGCCCTCCCGGTACCGAAAACTCCTAGCTACCTGACTTACTGGACCGGTGGTAATAGGGGCTATACGGGTGGGGCAAATGAGTGGAGGCGTAAATGGCGCTTGTAGGGAATGCCTGGAATTGGCGATCCTGATAAAGTGAAAACCTAATTTAAACAAGGTGAAAAATGCGAGGAAGGTAAACACTTCGGATCTGACTGACGTATGAGACGCCTTGCTGTTGTAGTCTGAACCCAAGAAGTAGAAAGTGCGCGATGTCGTAGGTGAAGTGCGCCCAGTTCAAACCCAGCAATGTCGAAGCGTCCGGGCGGGGGGGGGGGTGCCGTAGTGCCTTAAACTGGAAGTGCAGGAAAGAATCGCTAATTGGCCATGGCGGTGTTTACAAGGCGTCACGGTTTTCAGCCAAACCCCTGCGACCAAATACAACCGGGCTGTTCATAAAGACGGGGCCAGTAGGTACAATTGTAAAATCAGTGGGCAGGGCTACCAACTACCATTCTGCCCAATTGAATTTCCAACCGCATCGAAAATCAATAAGAAAAATATCTACTATAAAATAAATCATTTTTTCACGGTAGATTTTTTGCATGCAGCCGGGAAAAAGTTCCTTTGAAAGCCAGCATCCTGAGGTCATTAACGTATTGTAGAATTCTCCTACGTGGTGATTAGTTTTGCAGAGCTACTTATTTAGTCTTTTCAAAACTAAAACGCGTTTCGGAATTTTGGCTGACATTTCATGAGTTGTCTGACCTACTGTATCTCAGGTAGGTTATTAACACCAATCGTTTCCACGTCATTCGCATGACGACGACATTGAGACAAGTGGGTAAGTGAGGGAGGGCAGACATAAAACGCCTTTTCGCGTCACTGTAAGAGCATGTAGGACCCATTTGCAGGCAAAACGACCTGCTCTTATGATAAACAGCATGCGCATCTAGATCATCAGCAGACGAAGTAAGACAATAGTCCAACTATCAAAATGTTGCATGAGAGTTGAAAAGAAGCATGTGATCAGCCATCTCGGCAGAAACCGACCAACCTCCCAAAAACACTTTCGTTTCTATTCAATTTCTGTACGCTAAACGCTCTGATGACCAAACCCTGTGATGTGCACACAAAATGAAAAGGGCCTCCGGTTAGATTGCATTTGGTATCCAGGAATGGAGAGGCAGACGGCCGGGTCCCTGTCTTGACGGAATGGTGGGAAAGGGGATTATATGGGTGGGGGAGAGAGAGTGGAATGCTTTATTTTGAAAATAACTTTCAAAACCTTCAGCAAAAACGGTTCTCCTGTACACAGTGATTGCCATAGAGATTAACAGGTATTGGACAGGTGGACATGATTATATATGAAGAAAAAAGGACTTTAAGGTGCAAGATCGAGTTTTAGTTTTTGTTTTTCAACATCTTTGCAGGTGAGGTACCGGGCTAGAAATGGCAGTATGGAATTCCGATAGGCCGAAGTGCGGTAAGGGATGTGGCGGAAGCATCGACGCATGGGGCGTAAGGATTTCGCTGCCATTAACTCATGATGAAGGGAATAGATGGTGTCATTCAGAATTCGGTCCGCGAATTGCTCCACCGAGTTGAAGTGTCGCTGTACGATGATATCAACTAAAATATGATCGGAAATACCAGCAGCAGAGGCGAGCATTCGAATGACACGTTTAAAAATAATAAGATCTTTTTTAAGTAAAGCTGGAAAAATAACTGGAGAACAATAAAGAATGAGTGGAAGAATACAGCCATCTATGAATAGCCAGATTAAGGACTGGGGTGTGTGATATGAACGTAGACGACGAATGTAATAAACAAGTTTTTGAATTTTTGTTAAAAAGGTTTCCATATGAAGAGAGAAAGAGAGATTTGAGGATGAAGTAACACCTAGGTACCGGAAAGAAGAAACCTCATTGGGAAGAATATCCAAAGGTTCAGGAATGAGAGAGGGTCGCAATTGAAACACACACTGTACTGATTTCTGATTGTTGAGTAGGAGTCCATTATTCGAAGACCATGCGGAGACGTGATCTAAGCCATCCTTTAAAGACTGCAAATGAGTCAGGTTTTTGAGTGGGTGGCCTACGACCATGTCATCGGCATACTTAACATACAGGCAGTCGTTTGGCGATCTCAAATCATCAGTATTTAGGGAGGAAAGACGAGGGGATAAGATGGAACCTTGTAGAACTCCACAATTATTTGGAAGAATATAAGATTTTCTCTTTCCCGACTGGACAAACTGAGTGGGGGAAAAAAATAATCTCTAAGCCAAGAGACAATCCAGCTCGGAGTGTCGCACGCCGCTGCTTTGGTCAGGAGGAGTTGGCGCGGAATAGTGTTGAAGGCGGATGAGTAGTCGAGAAAAGCACATGCATATGCACGGCATCCCTTGTCTAAGACTCTCAAAGCTGAATGAACAACTTAAGCAACAGCATCCAAGGTGCTACGCTTTGCCTTGTATGCAAATTGTAGAGGATCAGAAAAATTGACAGAGGAGTACTGAAGGGAATCTAATGCAACTCGATCAGTAAGTTTCAGGAGTGCAGAAGAGCAGGCAATAGGACGGAAAGATTTAGGAGCAAAAGTTAAAGATTTTTTAGGGATTGGAGTAATTCTTACTGTACGCCAGGCTTCAGGAATTTCGGATTCTATGAAGGATAGATTTATAAGGTGGGTCAAAACGGGAGCTATCTGCGAACAGCAAGACTTAATGAGAAAAGGAGAGACACCGTCCGACCCAGCCGCCGTTGACCCGCGAATCTTTTTGAGATGTTGTTCCACTGTTGTCACAGTCACAGGAGTAAAGTCACATGGTGGTAGGTAAATTTCGTTTGGGCGAGAAGGGGAGTCGTTAGAAGAACAGATAAAATTCCGATTTAAAGAGTTTAAATCTACGTCAATGGGTTCAAGTATATTACGTTGACCAGTGAGACGCCTAAGATTCCTCCACAGTTCAGCAGAAGGAAAAGGAGAGGAGGGGGTGGATGAAGTAGAATACAGTTGACTAACGAATAAACCGTTAAGTCTGGCAATTTAGTTCTTATTTAAAACATTGATATTCGTCACCTTGTCACGCTGACCTAGTTTGTGGAAGGATTTTTGCGACGTCTCAAGTGTTTGAGGTATAGTGAGGAGATTAGGTCAGGCCTGACCATAACAGTTTTACGGGGACAACAAATATAAAAAATGTGATTCAAAAATAGCGTAAGATAATTAGAGCATAATTCAGCATTTTGTAGTGCTAGAAAAGTTGGGATAGTACTAGTTATTGAACTCTGCAGTAAGTGGATCTTATCTACGGATGTGTCCGAACAGTAATTTTCCCCTCGGGTTTTGTAAGCAGTTGACGCTTAGAGGTGGAATAGACTTTTGGAAG